TGTGGCTTGGTGGGCGTGGTGTGGCTTGGTGGGCGTGGCAGGGGAAGGACAGTGTAAAATCTCCATTCCCTCACCACTCCTGGGGAAGGTTATTGCAAAATCCCCATTTCCTCCCGATCAGCTGGGACTTGGGAGGCAGAGAATAGGTGGGGCCAGTCAGAGGTGGTATTTACTGGTTCTCCAAACTACTCAAAATTTCTGCTACCGTTTTTCCAGAACTGGTCAGAACCTGCTGAATACCACCTCTGGTATGGAGTTTCAGAAGTAATACAGTATAATGATAAAATAACATGGTGTTGAATGGAACTTGATTTGTCTTTTCTCAAAACATGGGACAGCAAATATGAAGTGCTTGAGGTTTTCCAAGTACTTTTTGTGATTCATAGTGCATAAACCCCTATCTTTTAGAGAACAATTGGATTAAAACTTTTTAAAATATAATAAAAAATATTCCTACAGCATCAACCTCAGTTGTTAAAAAAGTTCTAAGCTATTCTATCAGGCACAAGAAATTGGGATGCAAGGTGGTTCAAATAGCTACAGGTTTATTGCATGCTAACGCTCTCTACAAGAATCTGAACTACTCACAGTCAAAGCAAATTGTGATAAATAAGAGTCAATGGAATTCAAGGTGGGCTGGACTTGGATTTCTTGAGGGCACGAAGAGACTTGGGATTGATGACATGCTTGACCCTTCCCTTGAGCTCATCTCCTATACACTCATTTCACTAAACAAACTTCATAAAACTTAGCATCTCAAACCATGCCTCAGGTATTTAGTTGTTGGAATCTGTTTGGTTGAACCTAAGTTAAATTCTGGGTAACAAATAGGGGGACTTCTGCTATTTAATTCTTGTACAAGTTTCTCTCATGTGCTTTGCCATGTTTACCTTGTTACTCAAACCAACCCTGTTGCCTTTTATAGTGATACTTTTCATTTTACATTGAGAAAATGTAAATGTGCTGGAGGAAACATACCAAGTTCATAAAATGATTGAAACAAGAATTTCAGTTTCTCAGTCCCAGGTTTCTGGAACATAATACAGTTGATTGATTGATTGAATAAAATATGTTTAGCTTGCATGAGCAAGCAAGACTAGTTTGTCTGAATTTAAATAATTTCTACCACACTCATCTGTCAAACAGATCCAAGAGCAAGCCAGATTGATTAAAAATAACATATTTTCAAACTGATTTCTTTCCTTCTAAAGCATGCCTAAGCCTTGTGCAGGGATAGAAGTGAATAATGTGTATACTTGATCCTTGTCAAGTGGCCTAAAACAATTTGTTACTTGCTTGGATGATGCTCATAGTGACAAAGTTCAAGATTCCTGACAAGACAGTTGTTGGAACTGGGCTTCTCAACTGGTCTAGGCCAGGGGTCTCCAACCTTGGCAACTTTAAAACTTATGGACTTCAACTCCCAGAGTTCCTCAGCCAGTGAAGCTCTGGGAGTTGACGTCCACAAGTCTTAAAGCTGACAAGGTTGGAGACACCTGGCCTAGGCGACTATTTCTTGATGCCATCTGCTTTTCTTCAGCAGGGTTCATTTTCTGCCCCGTGTATCTCGGACTCAGAATATTTGATACCCTATTCTAATCTTTGCAGCAAGGCAAATACATTCTTTTTCTTTCTGCCTCCATCTTTCCCAGATAAAATAATGGATTACGAATTTGCCCAGATATTAAAAAGAAGCATTTGTCTGGAACAGAACACTCAGGCCTGGTGTGAGAACTGCGAGAAGTACCAACCCACAGTAAGTGACGAGGGAAGAAGCGCTGGGTAGGCCAAGGCGATATGAGGTCTGTAGCATTTAGGCACATACTTTAGATATGGCATACAACCATACTACCTGGGATTATTTTGAGGATGGAATTGTACGTTTGATTGACAGCTAACCAGGCGGAAGTACGATTCCAGTGTCTGTGGCAAGATCTAGGGTAAATCGATTTTGAAGATAAAATAGATTATTTGAAGAAGTATTTTTCCCCTCTCCCCTAATTTCAGCTTCTGCTATCAGTTTTTCTATGAAACAACAATCGCTGAAAGATCAAAATATGGATCCTTAGTATGATCAGAGCATGCCCATACCTAGGCATTATGAAATAAAGTCACAAAGATTAAATCTATGCCTCTCTTTATCTATCTATCCCTCCCTCCCTCCCTCTCTCTCTCTCTCTCCCCCATTCCAGGTCCAGACACGCAACATCCGCTGTCTGCCAGATGTGTTAGTCATTAATTGCGAGGTCAACAGTTCGAAGGAAGCAGAATTTTGGAAGGTGCAAGCTGAGGTAGGGAGATGCACAAATATGTTGTTTTGTATTGCCATTTTAATGCCTTCAGTTTTACAGGTAGGACCTCTGTTAAGATAACCCAAAATAAGGAAACCAATTTTCGGTGGTCAATTGTCAAGATGTGTTCTGGGAATTTGACCATAGACTGTCTTAACGTGTATGTGTGTGCGTGTGTGTGTGTGTGTGTGTGTTTTGTATAAGAAGTTAATTTCTTAAGTTAAGAAATTAAGAAAAATACATACTGTATTTTTCAGACTACAAGACACACCGGTGTATAAGACGCACCAAGATTTTGAAGAGGTAAGTAAGAAAAAAAAGTTTTTGTCCTCCCTGGCCCCCAGGAGCACTCTGCAGGCTTTAGCAGGACTGGGGAAAGGCAAAAACACCTCCATTTTTCACCAAAACCTTCCCCCAGCCTTGCTGAAGACTGCAGAGTGCTACTGAGGGGGTGGGGGAAGGCAAAAACACCCCCATTTCGGTGAAACATGGCCCATTTTTTGCACATTTTTCACAAAAATTGAATGCAGGAACGCGGCTTCAGGAGGCCAAATATGGCTGCATTTTGTGTATAAGACGCACCAACATTTCCACGCTCTTTTAGGGGGGGAAGATGCATCTTTTACTCCAAAAAATATGGTATATTGACTCCACACAAATGGTATAATCCTCCTTGAAGAGCCAGCAGCTTGGGAATGAGCTAGAAGCTCCATTGACAAACAGAAGTAAAATATGTTCCTCATACAACACATTGAGAAGCTGTTGGAGAACTTATCCTATCTTGATCTGTTGACATCCACTTGAGTTGGTGGTAAATAAAAACATTTCAATAGATTTAGATGTAGATTTCTATGCTTCAGGTTCATCCTTTCTTTGACAGTATGCTTTTAAGAAGAAGATGAAGAAGAAGGGTTGCCTGGAATTCCCCAAAAGTAGAGAAATAGCAGTTGGAGAATGGTAAGTACCATTTCTATCCAGGGAATCTCTACTTTTCCTAACAGTTTATCCTGACCGTATCGTTCCTTAATGATAGATCTTGTTATAGAATACATGACTGCTTCTGCCATGTTCTTAATTAAAAAGACACATAACTAAAGGACAGAGAAAGACACTGAAGCAGCAGAGTTCCAATTATAGTGCAGCTGGAAAAGTGCAGTTATGCCCCAAGAATATGGAATGGGCCCATTATAATAATGGTTGATGAGATAATTAATACCATTTCTTGCTGAACTAACCAGCCTCGTTTCTTTGGCTGGCAGCATTGGGTGCTTGAGCAAACAAACAAACAAACAAACAAACAAACCAAAAACCAGTCTGCTCCTCAGTCCTGTTCACTGATAATTCCTTCCACCTCTGTGATAGCGATTGGCATTTGCTTTGCTTTCAGGAATGAGTTAGGAATGGCTGAGGGGGGACACTCTTACACCTCCATTGAAGAGCTAAAGAACATCTGGATTCCTTATTCCATCAAGATGAAGCTCTCCAAGAACAAGGAGTTGGAGGTCTACAACGGGGATGAAAGCAATGAAGTAAAATATTTTTTTGTTTACAAGAAAGTACTTCCTTAGAATACTTTCCTCAAATATGCAATGTTTTTTCGGTATCCTAGTTCTTGTGAATGCTGCCCAGCCAAGTGATTGTGTTGCATTGGACCATTGCCCACTTTAAGAGGGAAGGCTTAAATCATCCCAGAAACAATTTAAGTATTTAATTTTCAAAAGCCTCAGCAGCTGAGAACAAGTTTTGCTTTCTTTGTTGCTTTTTTAAGCTGCAAAGCTCGTAAGGTGTAGAGTAGGGCTGTCAAATTTGTAGCCCACGGGCCGGATGCGTCATGCAGTGGCCACACCCATGCCTGGTTTAGCAAAGGGGGAGGAAAGTTGTGATATGTCACGTGATGATGCGAGTTTGACACCTGTGTTGTAGAGAAATAACTCATCAGGAAAAACCAAGTTCAGATTATTTATTTTTTATTCCACCATGAAGATACCAATGCAGCTTGCAAATAAAAGCTTGTAACGCTTCTTCCCACATGGTAATTGGAGCTAATTGGATCTATGTTGGAGAAATGGCAATTGAGCCAAAAAGAAGTGCTTGGGTTATCTAGTTTGCATCCAGGTTTGGTCACCACATTTTTTTTAAAAAGATGTTGAGATTCTAGAAAAAAAATGCAGAGTAGAGCAACAAAGATGATTAGGGCAATGGAGGCTAAAACATGAAGAACGGTTGCAGGAATTGGGTAAGTCTAATCTAGTGAAAAGAAGGACTGGTGGTCACATGATAGCAGTGTTCCAATATTTGAGGGGCTGCTACAAAGAAGGGGGAGTCAACCTCTTTTCCAAAGCACCTAAAAACAAAACTAGAAGCCATGGATGGAAACGAATCAAGGAGAGAAGCAACCTAGAAATAAGGAGAAATTTCCTGACAATTAGAACAATTAAATTATGAAATGACTTGCCTCCAGAAGTTGTGGGTGCTCCAATACTGGAGGGTTTTTAGAAAAGATTGGACTGCCATTTGTTAGAAATGGTATAGTGTCTCCCCGTGACCCGACAAATGCGCGCCTGACAAAACCACGCCGAGGAAACCGCGGCGAGAAAACTGTGATGTCTAAATCGCGCCAACAGCACACCGACAACAGCGTGCCGACAAAAGCGTGATTACGGTTAAGGTAAGGGTTAGGGTTAGGGTTAGGGATAGGGTTATTATGTTGTTTTCGTGTTGTTTGTTGATGGCGCGCTTTTGTCGGCGCGCTGTGGGCGCGCTGTTGTGGGCGCAATTTTGACATCGCAGTTTTCTCGCCGCGGTTTTATCGGCGCGCATTTGTCGTGCGCGCATTTNCTTATAGTGAGTGAGAATAGAGCATGTGTAAAAAAGGTATAGTAACAGAGATGTAACCGAACACAAGTGATATGTGTATTAACAAGTTAACAGAATTGGAAGGGACCTTGCAGGTCATCTAGTCCAACCGCCTGCCCAAGCAGGAGACCCCATATCTGCCTCTACCTAGGCTTGAACTCACAACCTCCTGATTGTGAATGACTTAATACCTTAATTTAAATTCCCTGACTCAAAATTGTTTTTCCAGTTCTGTAATTCTGTAGGCATTCCCACATAGCCACTTATCTTGTATCTGGAATTATTTGTTTAATTTACCCTAACCCTAACCCATCCTACCACGGCAGCCCTGGAAGCCTACAACAGTTAAACAATAAAAACAACAACACAATTCAACATTGACAGCCAATGTAAAAACCAATGAAACAATAACAGGAGATGTAGGTTGGAAATTGCACAACTTGGGCCAAGATCGACTGGAAAGAAATGGGGTTTTCTGCACTTCTGGGGTGGGGGTGGGGAAATATTTTACAGCATTTCCTGTAGTAGAGTAAGAGATGACCCCAGCGAGTTTGGCTTCTCAGGCCCTCCCAGTGCTTGGGGATTCACCAGATAGGATGATCAGTGCGATCATCCTCATGTGTAAAAGGGTTGCAGTGGAATGCATGTGTGAGAGAGAAGACAGCACACAGAGGGAGAAGAGAGCAAGGCTAGGATCTTACTAGCACTTTTGTGTCTGTAATTTTTAACTAGGCAAAACAGTACATCACAGGGTAAAACCTTCTGAAGCAAGGTACCCCACATGGTCTAATTTCGAGATTGTGTCCAAAGTCCAGAACTCATGATGCCTGTGGAATTGAAATATGGCAAATTTTATAAAACATTTTATGATAAAAATTATCATAAAAGTATTTTATGATATAATACAACATTAGCAGTTTGTCAACTATACAATTCAACATGGGCTACTTTCAAGGCAGAGGCATTTCTGAATTTTTAAGAACTCTTCAAGTACATCAGAAGCTACATCACTGTTGAAATCACTGAGGAATCTGCAGTCATTGTTTGCAGACCNAGGAAACCGCGGCGAGAAAACTGTGATGTCTAAATCGCGCCAACAGCACACCGACAACAGCGTGCCGACAAAAGCGTGATTACGGTTAAGGTAAGGGTTAGGGTTAGGGTTAGGGATAGGGTTATTATGTTGTTTTCGTGTTGTTTGTTGATGGCGCGCTTTTGTCGGCGCGCTGTGGGCGCGCTGTTGTGGGCGCAATTTTGACATCGCAGTTTTCTCGCCGCGGTTTTATCGGCGCGCATTTGTCGTGCGCGCATTTGTCAGCAGGGGATTGGACTAGAAGGCCTCTAAAATCCCTTCCAACTCTATTATTCTGTTCCTATCTCTTACATTATTAAGGTGGTAATAAGCAAACTTCAGGATTGATGCATCCTTTCTTCCATCTATCCCAGAGCAAGATGGAAAACAGTGGCTCCAGGAACTTTCAAAGATATAAAACTAATGATAGGATATCTTTGAATGTGGGCTCTACCCAGGAATTCGAGTTCAGCTTGAGAATTTATACACAATAATTTGTATTTGATTTTCCCTGAAAGAGTCTTCCTAAAGCAACCCAGTTTTATGGAGAAATATCATTAGTTGCAATAGGCAATCCATCTGGGTTAAATTTACCAATCTATTGTAAATCCTCATAAAAAATTACCAGTAAATCCTAATGAGCTGTCATGGCGCAGTGATTAGAATGCAGTATTGCAGGCTAATTCTGCTGATTGCTGTCAGTCTTCCGTCCTTCCGAGGTGGGTAAAATGAGGACCCAGATAGTTGGGGGCAATATGCTGACTCTGTAAATTGCTTAGAAAGGGCTGTAAAAGCACTGTGAAGCGGTATAAAAGTGCTAGTGCTATTTTCGTCCAGTCTGTTCCTGTCATACTATACAATCCAAGCCAGCTCTGTGTGCTGAGAAGTGGTTCCCACTCACTGCAATGGGGCTTATTCCCTGGAAAATGCAGAGAGGACTGCAGGCAGCTCTCTACTCTCCTAGTATAAATTAAAGACAATAATTATATATTCAGTACAAAATTATTTTGAAGAGCAAGAGGTATCAGAAATAAAAGTTGCAGGGACAATTAAGCTGCCCCCCATCTGCCTGCTAGTGGTTGAACTATATTACAGCCGTAGTACTGGTGATTGATGGAAGGCTGGATAAGCCCAGGCAAATGGAAACATGAAGCAGAGGTACGCTGGGGAACCACCAGCCGCCAAGCTTCTCACGTGTACAGGTAGTCCTCAACTTAATGACCACAGTTGAGCCCAAAGTTTATGTTGCTAAGGGTTGTTAAATGAGTTTTATCTCATTTTACAACCTTTCTTGCCATAGTTGCCAGTTAAGTGAATCATTGCAGTTGTTAAATGAGGAACATCATTGCTAAGTGAATCTGACTTCCCCATTGGCTTTGCTTGTCAGAAGGTGGCAAAATATGAAATATAAATATGAATCAGTTTCCAAACCTCTAAATTTGGATCATGTGACCATGGGAATGCTGCAACGGTTGTGTGGAAAATGGTCATAAGTCCCTTTTTTCCAGTACCGTTATAATTTTAATTGGTCACTGAGTGAACTGTTGTATGTCGGAGATTACCTATACATATTTATCTGCATTCAGGTTAAATTGTTTACGTCAATTCATGAAATAGGAGAGAACACGATGAAGGATAAATGAACGACTAAGACAAGTTAGGCTCCAGGCTTTGTTCTGTTACACTGACATGGGATCCAAAGTTCTGGAAAGACAAGCAATCATATTGGGATTGAACTATCCAGGGGGATGGCTTCAGGAGTACTAAAAATAGTGCACTTTTCCTCTTCGTTTGGGGAGAATGTAGTGACGCACACCCATGTAGAACTATGCTACAGCCACAGAGCAAACTAGTTCACTTCTGGAACTGTCTTCCTTGTGGCAGATGGGCATGTTGGAGGATCAAGAATCTACATACGTCTATGACCTCATGGCAACAGTTGTACATATTCTAGATTCCCGGACCGGGGGCAGCCTTGTGGGGCATATCAAAGTTGGAGAGACCTACCATCAAAGAAAGGAGGTGAGACTTTTAATAAAAAGCACAGCGTCTTGATCTTTCTAGTTGCTCTGTAACTGTCACTTCTTATTATATGGAAAGGGTGGTGATGGTTAAATGTAGCTATAACTAAAAAAAAAATTGCACCTGATTGTAAGATATGATTGCAATACATCTGATTGTAAGATGTTCACTGATTGAACATCTTTGTATTTACCGCATAACTTTTTTTTTTTAAGGGGGTCACACACCAGCAGTGGTATCTTTTTAATGACTTTCTCATTGAACCTGTGGATAAGGTAAGGATACAATGATAATTTATATTCTGTTCTCTTGCTTTCTTACATACAACAGAAGTAGAAGTGAATATTTAGTATGCAGTTATTCACTTTCCATGCTTTTTTTAAACTAGAAAGCATGGATTTTATAGAGTGTTTTGACATAAAATAGAAATCAGAACTGAATAATTTGAAAGCATACCTTTACAAAGTAGTCTTATATGGATTGAAGTGTTTCAAGACATATTTCCATGTTAATGAGAATTGATATTTGTTTTAAAGCTTCTGTGAATCTCTGTTTTATTAAATGGCCTAGGTGATGCCTCATATCCTATGTTACTTTTTTTTCTTGCAAACAATATTAAGTTGTACATTAAAGGCAGTAGGTGAATTGTCTTTTATAGTGAAGTGGACATAAAACAGTTTATTTATTTATTTGGAGACATGTAATGTTACTACGGGACACGGTGGCTAAGATGCTGAGCTTGTTGATTATAAAGTTCGGCAGTTCGAATCCCTAGCGCTGCGTAACAGAGTGAGCTCTCGTTACTTGTCCCAGCATCTGCCAGCCTAGCAGTTCGAAAGCATGTAAAAAATACAAATAGAAAAATAGCAATCACCTTTGATGGGAAGGTAACAGCATTCTGTGCATCTTCAGCTTTAGTCATGCTGGCCACATGACCACGGAGACGTCATCGGACAGCTCTGGCTCTTTGGCTTTGGAATGGAGATGAGCACTGCCCCCTAGAGTCGGGAACAGCTAGCACATATGTGTGAAGGGAATCTTTACCTTTAATGTTACTACAGAACATATTTATAAGACGCAGTTTTAGTAATGTATATACCTTGTGCCAAGAAATACGCACCAAGATGCTGTGCTGTGCCCCCACTGAAAAATTTGAGATCTTCTTTTTAGGATTTTAGAATTTACAACCTAGCCAGGGTTGCCCTGAACTGTTGCCATGGATAAACAAATGTGAGTGTTGATTTATCCAAGTCACAACTTGCATCCATGCTGAAACTTCCTTAACATTCTGCATTCAAGTCTAAAGAAATTTAGTCAGCACAGACAAGCACAATTCTAAGTCAAAATTTCTTCTTTTGGATTATTCCCCCTCCCCACCCACATTTCCCATTTTAATTAAAAATGGCTCCAGACAGCTTCCAGAAGTCATTTCTGATCTGTCTTTTCTCCTACTTCTGTCTATCTGATTTTTCCTGTCTGCCTTTGGATTTACAGTGTGAGGCTGTACAATTTGACATGACCTGGAAAGTGCCTGGGATCCTTTATTATGTGCGGAGGAACCTCCACTCCAAGTACAATTTGCACAGTGAGTGTGTGTGCATGTACAAACGCATTTACAAAAGTAGCAAGAAATTAAGAGCTGCCGCTTCTTAAAACCTGACTGCCAGGTTTAGTCATGATGATAACCTTTAGTCTCTTACAAGCCAGGTATCCAGTAATATTAGGACAGGAATTATAACGTCCTATACAGTATATGTATGTATATAAGGAGGATGACTGCAGGAAAAACTAAACAAGCACTAGTTGATTGTCTTATTATAACTTATTGTAATGACATAGAGGTGCTCCTCAATATATGACTATAACAGAGCCTGCCCATTGTGGTCCTAAATAGTGGTTGTAAAACAGGCCACTTACATGACCAAGCCAATTTTTTTTATTTTTTATTTTTGCAATGGTTGTAAAGCAAACCAGTTGTTCACTATCGGCCACTTTTGCTGAAAATCAGAAGTCAAAGCCAGCAAAAATGTCATAAAATGCAGTGACATGACTGTGGGATGCTGCAAACAGCCATAAATGTGGGCCAGTTGCCGAGACCGCAAAATGCAGTCGTCTGATGGGAGAGGGGGAGAATGTTTTTTGTAACTTTGGAACTAGGTCATAGGCACCCCCAGGGAGGTCCGTCATAAATTTGATCTATTGCTAAACAACCAGCCATAGGTTGAGGACAGCCTGTACTTAAATCTTTGTTCAGGAACTCCAGCAGCTAGTCCCGTTATTATCTAGGGGTGTGTGTGTGTGTGGTGTGTGTGTGTGTGTGTGTGTAAGCTATTGAAATAGAGAAACACCCCCATAACATGAATAAATGTGACAATGCCTCCCGCCTACCAGACATCTGGAAACCAGCCCTAGTCAACAAACGAGCCCCACCCACCACCCAAGCCGTTACAACACAAAACAACAATAGACACACAGCCAGCACCAATCAGCACCAATCTACCAATCATGATACAACCAACCAATTATTCCACTTACTGAAACAAAGCCAGCACTCCACCCCAACCCCCAAGAAAGACGGCAGCTCCGATTTCACTTTAAGCCCAAAACCCAGCCTGAAGATAGATAGATAGATAGATAGATAGATATAGATATAGATATAGATATAGATATAGATATAGATATAGATATAGATATAGATATAGATAGATATAGATGATAGATGATAGATGATAG